CAGCGTCTGCATCACTGCACACGCTGCACTGATCAGTCTGTCGATCCCACACTCCAAACCCCAAATACACTTGAACTCCTCCCCCTGGTCTTTACAATCATAAACAATCACAGTACATTATAAAGAGCAAAGATACCATCCTTGAGTTGTATGCACAGCTAAACCTGGATTAGTTCTTTCCAGGGGCAATGTAGATAAAGAGACATATGCTGCATGAATATACAATACAAATCCTGCTCGCATGGGTGTAAGTGATTTTAATTAATTAGCGCTCCCGTATGTTGGGCACTCACACTGTTGCCTTGTGCGTGAGTGTTGCCAGAGAGCTGTCAATCACGATGACGTTGACTGTTTGGAGGACGCACAAACCGACGCTCTCCCTGTTCCCGCTCCATCTGCTCCACAATCCTTTGGCTTATGCTTCCATTCACTGTTTACTCAAATGATTTTTCACTGCCTGTTCATTTATGTGCCTTCCAGGCTCCGCCATTCATATTTATTCAAGGCGATCACTGTTTCTGCTGCTTGTTTTAAATTACACACATTACACAACATTCTCTTTTTCAAAAAGAACACAAACCAAACATACATACAGGAAATAACAACCAAAATATATCTAAGTGCCATAAACAGAGAAATGTCTATGGAGATGTAGTCGCTTGTTCAGTGGGCAAGGGGAGGCTGCAGTTGTGCGATCCCACCCGCCGGTTGTGCGTCAAACATACTGTCTATACTGTCGCTGGTGAACTGCCAGAAACAGTCCCCACCCACATCCTGTCCCAGAGGAACAGGTCAAGTGCAAACAAAAGTGCTCCCAGCGGCAATGGCAAATGTTCTCATAATTTTTTATTTTCTTCCCTCACGTTAATTAATATGGCCTGGACTCTATCAAAAATATAATCTAATTCATGAATCAAAATGAATATTAATTACGTGATGATCAGGATTGAGTTTAGATTTTGCAGGCAGTTGTTCAGCTCTGGGTCTTTGAGGGTGTACGTTTACTACTCTGACACTTTATCTCAAATGGATTTTTGCTGGCGATAGTGGCTCAGTTGGTAGAGCCTTTAGGCCTGAAGGTTGTGGGTTCGAGCCCACCATGAGACCTATACTTCATGACTCCCACTAATGACTGCTGTTGTTGTGTCCTTAGGTAAGACACTTAACCCCACTTTGCCTGAAGCCCCCGCTCGCAGATCAAGGCTCCTGTGGACTGATAATCCTGCAGGAGGTTAAGTGAGGGTTGGTGCAATGTGTACTGGGTGCAGCTCTGACTGCCACCCCCCTGACCCAGAAATGGATTAAGGGGAAGAAAATGGATGGATTTTTGCTGGACTGGGTGTGTTAGTTCGAGAAAGAGGACTTTTTGATGCTTCTTCAGACATGTGTTAGTCCTAGTGCACTAAAGAATAATTCATAGAAATTGTAAATATGACTTTGACACAAAATGGCTTAAAGAAAATGTGAAAACCATATTAGCAGCCTATTTGATAGAACTCGCTGTGCGGGAAGACGAGCCGTAAGTCACTCAGAATTCACTATTAAGTACTGGTCATGATCAGGCCCCTCCCTACATAGATCTGATCCAGCCCAATGCACTTTGGTTTCCTTGAGTGTTGTAAAGGGCTCTATAAATAAAATTTGATTTGATTTGATTTGTGCCCCTTCTCTGGCTCTGAGGTCTGTGGATCAGAATCTGCTGATGGTTCCACTCACCCTCTTCCAGACCAGAGGGGACCAATCCTTCCCGGCTGTTGCTCTCTGCTGTTAATGGGAGTTTGTTGACAAAAGTAATCTGAAAGCCTATTTCATTTAGCTTTTGCTTGATTTTTTGGGGGCTTTTTAATCTGGCACTAACCTTTTATGTGTTCTCATGTTTTAAACTGTAATTCTATCTGCTTTTACTTTGAAGCGCTATGTGGCCTTGGTTTGTGAAAGGCCAATAGAGCATACTTCCATCTATCCATTTTCTTCCCCTTAATCCAATTCTGGGTCGGGGGGTGGCAGTCATAGCTGCACCCAGTACACAGAGCACCAGCCTCTTACTGATCCTCCTGCAGGTGGCGAGTCCACAGGAGCGGATATCTTTCAGTGGGAGCTTCAGGTAAAGTGGGGTTAAGTGTCTTGCCCAAGGACACAACAACAGCAATCATCAGTGGGAGTCTTCAGGTCTTGTGGTGGGCTCGAACCCACAACCTTCAGGCTCAAAGGCCAATGCTCTACCAACTGAGCCACTGTCGCCCCTACTAATTATTACTATTACTGATACAATTTACCCTAAAATAAATAATGACTAACTTGTGGTCCTCTCTCAGAGGATGGGACAAGATGCAGGACGACTGAGCACATGCCATAAATAGAGCAAGAAATAATATATTAAGACGTCATCAGAAGAACAAATACGACAACTTTAACTTAGAATCCAAAACAATGTGGGCTGTGACCTCCTCTCCTATCGTGCTCATTATTATTCATTTTGGCTGTAGAAAAATGAATCTGATTCAAAGGTAACAATATTGAGAAAATACTATGTACAAGATGTGGTCCTTGAATCATGGATAACAAACTTCTAAAGATAAAAAAATCTTCACGTCATCATTAAGTCCTTTTTCAATCTGGAGAGACTCAGAAGACAAAAATGCAGTTTGAATGTTTTATTGATAGGTAGTTTGGCGTCCTAGGCCCCCGTGCAGCAATTTGGGTCAGTGAGGCTCCTGCTGAGTGCGTGCATGTTCCCCCCGGGACCTAGGTACTGGTGGTGGCATTAGGGCAGCAGGAAAGGGCGCACGCTTGAAGCAAGAGAGAGAAGGCGGAGGAGGGGAGGCGGTGGTTTGCAAGGCTTGAGAAGGCCGTGAAGTGGGAGTCTCCGCTTTTAAGCAGCTTGTCTGGCCTGCATAGGTTGGCTGGAAATGGGCGTTTTGCTGCGATAGGCCGAGGATGTGTGGCAGGCCTGGAGGGGATAGGCTTTTAGCAGTCAGTCTTCCGCGATCTGGAGACTCGGAAGACAAAAATGCAGTTCGAATGTTTTATTGATAGGTAGTTCGGCGTCCTAAGCCCCCGTGCGGCAATTAGGGTCAGCGAGGCTCCTGCTGAGTGCGCGCACGTTCCCCCAAAAGGCCGTGGGTTTGTTCTGGGTTTGGCAGGACGAACTATACGGGCATGAGAATTAGATCAGCAAGGCAAAACTATTAATAAAGGCACCACTATAAATAAAGGCAGCACTATAAATAAAGGCAGCACTATTAATAAAGGCTCAGCTGCTGCCACCACCAGGAAGTTTTGCGAGTGCTTACGAGGATGCCAATAAATGCTGGGCTGCCAGTATGGTTGTAGTGTCTAGCCTGATGTAAGCCGAAAGGGCAGAGGATGACCAGCGCCCCAGCTGCTAAAGGGAAGAGTGGGGGAGTCCCAGGGAAGCATGTAGCTATGTAGAGATGAGGAGACAAATTGCAAAGGAGCAGTATGGATTTGAGATGGGCTCTGAACCAGTTTGATGTCATGGGGAGGTTATCTGGAGTGAGAAATAACGGGCCGTTGAGATCTCCTTTTTGGAAGCGGAGGCGTGTGTAACGCATCATGTATCTGTAGGGACAGGGAGATGTGTCAGAACGGGCAATGATGATGTTGCAGGCGCCTTTGCATTTGGAATTTTTAAGGTGAAGGTTGAAAAAGTCTGGATAATGACAGGTCAGAGAAGGCTGTGTCTCGGGCTGCGTTGAAAATGGTGTGAGCGCAAGAAGCCATAGAAGGCAAGGAGGAAGACGCTAGATAGTAGGGCAGTGGTATACTTTGAGAAGGGGCCGGAGCGTAGTGTGGCGCAGAGCTGATGGAGGATGGAAAGTATGATGGGGCGCCTGTGGTCCGAGGAATGAGGGGTGCAGTTGTGAATGCCTTTGATAAGGAGTTTGATTTACGGATCTGCGAAGAGAGAGGAGAAGGCGGGGTTATGACAGAGGGCCTGGAATTGGATCCCGGCGAGAAGAGTGCGAACGTAGGAGATTTTGAAGTGTAGATGGTCAGTACAGTGAACTATAAAGGCGCTGACGGTACATACAGAAGGCGGAAGTAGAGGAATGTTGTGAGCGTGACAAAAGCGGGACTAGACAGTCTAAGCGTAATTGTATGTTTTGAGCGTGGAAGGTGAGAGGCCCATCTTCATGTAGGAAGAAGCAGAAGAGAAGGTGGGACTAATCCAGGGCGAGGTATTCCATGGAGGGAATCAAGACGTCGTTGATCTTGCATGGCATCGCGTTGGCAAGAGGGGCAGAGGCGTCGAAATTCCTGGAATTTGAAACAACAGAGACAATCATCTATATGACTAAGGTGACCGGGGATGTGACGTGCAGTGATAATGAAATTATTTAGGACTGAGAGCGTGTGATGTGTCTGAGAAATGACTTGACTAGGGTAGATGAGGAACGACCTTTTATTTATTACTTCTACCACGTCGAGATTATCACACATCACAGAAATCTTTATCCTCTGCCAACTGTGGATCCACATCGCGCAGGCCACGGCTACGGGGAATATTTCGTGTAGGGCAGAGGAGATGCTTCGAGGGAAAGAGTCGGGCCAAGGCCCGGCGAACCACTGGTCCTGGAAGAACCCCACAAAACCCACGGACAGGGCCACGTCCGTGAAAAAGCGCAGGGCATCGGAGGACTGGACGACGTCGCTGTAGACAAAGGAGACGCTATTCCAACAACACAATAAGCGGGACCAGAACTCCAGGTCAGAGCGGCACCCGGCGTCCAGGGAGACAGCATCATGGAGGGAGGGGACGGAACCCGCAAGGGCGAAGAGCCTGGAAATGAAAGAACGGCCCTGAGGGATTATACGGATGACATAATTGAGGTGCCCGAGGGGGAGAGCAGCTGACACCCCTCCCTGCTAGAATGGTCCGCAGCACTAGGCATCACTGTAGCGTCGAGGTGGTCGTCCAATATTCTCCCTGGTGGACCGCCTTGGTTCTGCAGCCTCTGGATGACCCTGGCGTCGATTTACAGCATGAGGATTTTCTTCAGACTCCAAACTGGTAGGGACCCAAAACCCAGTCCATGGAGGATGACTGTGGCGCTGGGGGCCCCCCTGCTGGATTGTTGGCACCCGGTGATGGTCATCTGGTTCTTCTGTTGGTCCAGGCACAGGAAGTAACTGGTTTCCATGCACAACCTTTTCAAGGCCACTTTCTTGTCTAACCACATAAACAGGCAAGTTAGGGTCTGACTACTTTATTACCACGTAAGGCCTCTCTTCCCACTTGTCAGCCAGTTTTCCACGTCCCTTGGCCCTCAGGTCCTGCAGAAGTACCGTCTGCCCGGGTTGAAGCGATAGCGGGGCAGACCTCTTGTCGAAGTATAGCTTCTGCCGAGCCATTTCAGAGTCCTTTAATTTTCTTGCTTTCTCCATGGCAAACTGGAGACGTCGTTGATGGCAAGAGACCCAGTTCTCTATAGAAGAGCAGCCTGTGTTTTCAGTGAGACCCAGGAGGCGGTCCTGTGGGAGGGATCCATGTCTCCCAAACATCAAATAATGGGGAGTATATCCTGTTGTGCCATGAACTGAATTGTTATATACTTGCATGATTTCCGGTAAATGCTCATGCCAGTTCCTTCTTTCTTTGCCCAGGGTGCCCAATAAGCCGAGGAGCGTGCGGTTTAGTCTTTCACAGGCCCCGTTTCCTGCAGGGTGATAGGGTGTTGTGTGGCTCTTTGAAATGCATCTGTGTACTTGCATCTGTGTATAAAACAAAAGGCAAGTTAAAGTCAGCATAAGCCAGGATTGGCGCAGACGTGAGTGCATTTTTTTAAGTTTGGAAGGCCGCTGTACACGTCTCATCCCAATTAGCTAGAGGCCGCCGTCCAGAACATTTTGAATTCTTAGGGCTTATCCCTGTCAATAAGCAGTTAAGTGGACTGGCGATCTTAGCAAAGTCTTTAATAAAGCGACGATAGTAGCCAGCTAAACCAAGGAACGACTGGAGTTGTTTCACCGTTTTAGGAGCTGGCCACTCTTTGACGCATTGCTCTTTGTCAGGGTCTGGAGCAATCCCTGCAGCGGATACTCTGTGCCCCAAGAACTGCACCTCTTTCTCCAGGAAATGGCATTTTTCCGGCTTCAGCTTTAATCCATGTTTACCTAATTTCACTAACACAGAGTCCAGATGGGTCAGGCGAGAGTCGAAATCCGGTGAGTATATGATCACATCGTCCAAATATATAAGGACAGATTGTAAATTTTGGTCTCCAAGACAAGTGTGCATCAATCTCTGGAAAGTTGCAGGTGCATTGGACAAACCAAAGGGCATTCTTGTAAATTCATAGAGCCCCATTGCTGTAATAAAGGCAGTCTTCGCCTCATTTGGGGCGACCTGCACTTGCCAATACCCACTAGCTAAGTCCAAAGTAGTGAAATATTTAGCTTTTCCCATGCTAGCTAGTGACTCTTATACCCACTCCCTCGGATAGGAGTCTTTATGAGTCACTGCGTTCAATTTGCGGTAGTCCACACAAAATCTAAGAGCCCCGTCCTTTTTTCGGACTAATACTATGGGGGCAGCCCACGGACTGGTGCTGGGCAGAATGATCTCAGAGTCCAACATACCTTGGATCAAGGCCTTCACCTCTTGGTACATTTGCGGTGGTATCTGGCGGTAGCGTTCTCTGATGGGAGGTGCATCTGCCGTTGGAATTACATGCTGCACCGTCGTTGTCAGTCCATAGTCTTCATCACTGGATGCGAAGGTGGCTCTGTGTTTGTGGAGGAGGGCCTGCAAGCGCTCTTTTTGTTCTGTACACAGGTCAACGTCATTCATGTTAAGCAATGTCTTGGGCTCAGCACACACTTTATTTTTTTCTGTACTCACTCTTACTGCATTTGCACTAACACGGGTCAAGGTCACATCATTCTCTGGCTTGATGTCTGCAGAATTTATTTGACACGTTTTGGCTAGCAATTGGTGTCTGTACAGGCGCATGGGGGAATTATTTGGGTTTCTGACTTTTATTAACACTCTTCCACATTGAACAGTGCATAAGGAACGGGCAATCAAGAGTCCACCCACCTCCAGTGGTTCCACCAAGCACTGATAGTCCTTCCCGTCGATTCCTCCTTTGGTCCAACCAGACAGCAAAACCTCACTCCGGGCAGGGATCAGGATGGGGTTGCGGTTGATCGTTCTCACGTATCCGATGGCCCCTTCAGAGTCTGCAAACTCTGCCTGTTTTGAGCATAGTTTAAAAGCCATAGTACATGCCTGTTGTTGTGGGAGGTCATGGGTCAAAGAGGCAACTGGGTGCTCATCAACTTCTTGCCATAGACGAGAAATTATGTTCATCCCCACAACACCATTAGAGTCAGTAAGGCATCTTTTATAAGTAAGAAGCCACAGTCCATCAGCTCAGCCTCACCTATTATGATGGGAAGGATCACATAACCCAAGTAGGGGATGCTAAGTCCGTTGGCGGCCTCTAGTGTCAGCCAGCGACCTGCGTCCTCTAATTTCTTCCCTTGTGTAGCAAAATGACAAAAAAAAAAACTGTTTTTCATCAAAGAAACATTAGATCCTGTGTCCAAGATGTAGCAGACTGGAACATTTTCAATAATTAAATTAACTTTTGGTACTTGTCCAATCAATTTGTCAGCAAAGCTGGAGCGACGTAGCGTCAGGGCCCGGCACAACACCTAGTGCAGCGAGGTAGGCACGGACGGACCCTACGGACGCCAGACGCACGCTCTTCCGCGGACTGGCGGGTACGGGCGAAGCATCGTTGGGGAGGGAGCCAGACGCAGAGTTGGAAGGTGACACGGGCGCGGCCATGGGGTGCAGACTGCATCATTGTGTACAGGTGCGTTAGCTAGCATACGATTACGAGGCTTGAGAAGGCCGTGAAGTGGGAGTCTCCGCTTTTAAGCAGCTTGTCTGGCCTGCATAGGTTGGCTGGAAATGGGCGTTTTGCTGCCATAGGCCGAGGATGTGTGGCAGGCCTGGAGGGGATTGGCTTTTAGCAGTCAGTCTTCCAGAGTGAACTTCCTAGTGTGTTACTTGTGACATGCTACAGACCTTCTTTTTGTTTCAAGAGTTTGAGGTCGACCCACATGGTAGAAGGGGGACTTGCTCAATGCCTGTTATTGACCAGATGCATCAACGTCATCCAGTGACGTGATTGTGAATGAGCTTACGGCGGAAGTATTGGAAACTAGCATTGCTGCGAGAGCAAAACGGACACAACTCTTAAAAACGGAGCTTCCTCTCCTAAATCGAGAAGTGGCTGCTTCAAGCACATGTTCGATTACGTTATAGGTGGAAGTAGGACATCAGGTAAGGGCTCACAAAGAGTGGTATTTGGAGAAGTTAAGGATTGCCTAACTGGATGTTGACCCGTACCTTCTCCCCACAGTCAATTTTATCGATTAAATAAAATGTCTATTTTTGCCCAAACTCACCCTACATGATCTTTATCATTATCGTTAACAATGCATCCCCTCACACTGGAGCAGATTAATATGTACATTTTGTTGGTAGCATTAGCAATAGTCCACTTTTCTGTGGCTTTTCTGTCTACAGCCAAACATGATACGTACTGACGGAGAGGAAAAAAGTGAAACACGCAATTGACTTAAAAGATAAAAATGTCAATGTTGCAGCGCACATACAGGACAGTAGTAAGAGACACGTTTGACGTGTGTCATTGTCCTCCAAATTAATGGAAATAAAATAAATACAAATTTGTGATTGCTTTATCTTGTAAAAAGTGTTCACTGCATATTAGGGAGTACTTGGATGGGTCCCAGTCCTTTTGGTTGATTGCCGCCATCGTCGTCTTCTGTCTTCATGACGAGCAGGTATCAGATAAAAAAGCTTATGTCCTTGCCTGTTAGTATGATCAACCGCACTGCAAAATGTCACAGTTTTGGCTGTAATGCGCTGAAACAGGTTGTTTTGGTCAGGTGTCCGTAGGCTCCAGACTTCTGCCGTCTGTCATGGAGAGTGGGCGTGGCCGGGACGTCACATGCAAGGGGTCAATAGCCAAAAAAAAGGATGTGATTCAGAATTTGACCGTAAAAGAAGACCAAGAATATTCAGAGTTCAAAATCAACAGTATTTCTTTCTCTTTACAATCAAATTCAAATACAAGCTCCTATATTTCCCTTTCTATCCCTATGAGCTGACTTACTCACAATCTCCTACCAAACTGTTTTATGGAAATGAGTAGAAAAAGAGGAAGTGCCTCTGCAGATGTTATCTGGGCTCCTTTCTGAGATACTGGCAAACTTTCCAGCGCATCAGGAGCAGTGCTTTGCCAACAACGTTTACAGTACAGGTGGAGATCTACTGACCTTGATTGGGGATATTGTTAGGCGGTGAAAGGAATACCTTGAGGTTTTCATCAATCCCCTGGTCTCATAGGCAGGTCTTGGAGGCAGAGCCTGAAGATCTTGAGACGGACACTCCCATCTCCCTGGCTGAAGTCACAGAGGTGTTTGGCAACCTTCTCTTTGGCAAGGCTCAGGGAGTTCATGAGATCCAGAAGGTCTACTCCAAGGTACTGGAGAGGAGAGTAAAATCTCGGATTCAGGAGAAAAAGTGTGTTTTTTGTTCTGGGTTCTATACCTGTCACCGGATACTTGAGGGATCATGAAAGTTGGCCCAACCTGTCCACATGTGCTTTGTGGATCTGGAGATCCTGTTCCCAGGGGTGTCGTTTGGGGAGAAAGGGGGAGTATGGGGGCCGGAGTCCTTTGTTGCAACTGGTGGTACCTTGCCCTCTCCAGGTGGGTGGAGTCTTCATGTGGAGGACTATCTCAGGGTCTTTTTCACCAGTAAGGGAAAGAAAGAGCGTGAGATTGATTGGTGAATCAGTGCAGCGTGTGCAGTGATACGGTCGCTGGATCAGACTGTTGACGGTGGTGAAGAGGGAGCTGAGTTGAAAGGCAAAGCTCTTGATTTACTGGAGCTTTGCCTTTCCACTTAGATTTGAACACAGGAAATGCATTTATAAAAAACGCAGGGAGAGGGCTGACCAATTTCCATAAACAATCACTACTGTTCCTAGACCCTCCTGCATTGGCTAGGAATGACTCAAAAACCCAGTGGGAGAAAGGGAGAAAACGAGAAACCTCGGGGAGGCCCACAGTGACAGGTCTTGTTACCTACCTCATTCTAGCAAATCTGGTTGTAACATCGGATATTAACGGCTCATGTCAGCTCATTTTGATCATATCGTTCGCCCTTTCATATATATTTCTACTTCTAACATTTTAAATACTAAAGTAAAGGCTCCTGTCCTATAGAGAAATAATGCCGCTAAAATCAATGGAGTAAAAACTGAAAATATCTCATGCTGGTCTAATCTGTTAAATACACTCTGGATTAGACCTGGAGATATAAATCATAATGCTACATTTGAGATAACTTGCCAATATTGTATGCATGATACTTTATTACATAATGTATTGTGCGTGTGTATCGATTGCTATATTTTACCTAGTTACTATGTATACTGCTTTTTCTGTGGATGTCTCTGACAGAGGAAATCAGCACCTTGTATTTTATTTGCTCAACTGTATATTTTGGAATATCAGTTCATTGCTTGAACAGTTTTTGCATTAATTAATTACTAGTATTTATGTATTTAGCTTTTATATTATTATAATTAATTACTCATTCTGTGTAGATGTCTTGAACTGTTTATTTATTTTATTTATTTTTTTGAGCTTCTCTGCCCAGGGAAAAAGGGATGTGGGGAACAAAAATTTTACAAAAAGTAAAGTGTGATGGATGCCAACCAGTGCAAAAATGTAGAAACAATGCAATACTTTAATAAAAAAAATTAAGATCCTGTTTAAGGGCCAAAATGAACACAAACATGCTGAATTATTGCTCTCTGCAAACACACGTGTGAGTTGGTATGGGCTGCTCTTGTTAGTGCCCTGTCAAACGGGTGGCCTGCTGCTGCCAGTGGCCACATTTAGCAGTGAGCCCAGAGACCGGAGCTGGCCATGGGTGTGGGACCGAGCAGACGGGCTGACGAGCTGGCCTGGAGCGCCGCCACAGTTTGACCGGAGTGGGACGTCCACTGGCACCATTACCGTCATGAGAGGCTGAGCGAGAGGCCAATGCCAACTCGCTCTGTTCCAAGCCAACGGCAGCATCTGTCCTCCTCTCTGTCAATTACAGCAAATACCTCAAATCGCCCACATTTCCTCCAGCCGCAAAGCACAAAGCTGATAAAAGTGAGGAAAACGCACTATTGATGATTGATTTTGGTTAAAGCTTGCCTTTTTATGTTATTTATTTATTTTTTGAAAGCGGATGCAGGCTACAGGTGAAACCTCAAAAAAATAGACCAATTTATTTCTGAAATTAAATTGTGAAACTAATATATGATATGGGGCCCATGGCATGCAAATATGTCAAGCCTTTGTGTGTTTGAACTTGGATTATCAGATCCAGATTCAGATTCAGATTCATTTATTGGCCATGTGCAGTATAAAAAACAAGATGGCTTACATCTTGTAAAAACTGTGACTGTAAAGTTCAAAATGTGTGAAGATTAGAATATTGTGAAAGGGGCAATAATGTCATCTCAAAGTGACGCCTCGGACTCAAAACCCATTCAGAAGGTCCCTGAGTCTTTTTTATTTGATTTTATTCTGTTTTATCATTTTTTTTACTTACTATTTTATTGTATTTTCTATTATCTTAAATAATAGACCCTGTTTGATGTGTGCAATCTGAGTCTTATTTCCTTCATTTTTCCCTGCTGTAATGTGTATAACGATGACACTGAAATTTCCCCACTGTGGAATGATAAATCATTTCAGTCCGGTTCATCATCATGGGGAAGACTGCTGACCGGAGACTTCAAGTTACTCACTGCATCCGTACAGACAAAGACGAAACAGTGTATAATTTTGAAATCGTATTCAATCTATAACATTTGTGCTGATATGACTGCAATTGTTTGCTTATTAGCTGAATCAAAGTTAAAAAAGAGCATATTAATTGATTCAAAGTGAAATAGTGATCCTCATATCAAAATACGTATTGGCTTCAGTGAATTGTGTCCCTGCTTAGGAAACAGAGCAGAACCATGCAGTGTCCTTCAGCTACTTCAGTGGGCTCTTAGGACCGCCTTAAGCTACTTTTCCCCATGCAGAGTTGGTAACGCAGTCACAGTGGAAGTATGTTCTCTTGCCGTGGATCTCTCAGACAGGTTTAGAAAGGGCTCAAGGATCTCCCAACCAGTCGGAAATAAAAGACAATTGTCCCCATAAATCCTAATGACACACATGTATGCGTGCAGTGGCCCAGGCTCAGCTCTGCGTCTTGGGAAAGTGTACAGGATAATGGAAGGGGAGGGGGGTCCAGCCCATGGGAAGCACTGCCTGAGGCTTGTGCCGGGGGAGAGTGGAGGAATGGTGGAGGCCATAAACACATCAAGAGCAATACACATGCTGGCTTTAGGCTGCTGCAGACTTACATTCTTCCTATTCCTATTTTCTATCAGAATTTGAGGTATGTGTTGCATTTTTTCTCATATAGCATTCTTCTGCTTTATCAGTTGTTGAGTTGTGGAGGCAGCAGTCACACACGTTAACTCCAGTTTATGGGAATCCTGAGGTGTTCTATGGGTGCGGATCTCGTGTACAAGCCGCTCCAGGACCTTGAAATCCTTCAGACATTTATGAGTTCATAAAAATGCATATTACTACATACAAGTTGTATTATAATCCGTAATTTTGATTGAAAACTTGAGGCCATTGAATCAGCTTGTGTATGAATTTAGGCCGTAAAAAGTACTGAGTAGAGACGTA